TGAAACCAGAGGAAAGAGCCCATCCCTTTAAAGAATAGTTGCTTTATAATATAGTCTAATTTAGTTCTTAATTATGCCTAAAGTGATTTTGGTCATCCAATAAAGATGACGTTAGTAGCCTTCTGTAGCAATCTAGTTGTCTGTGCTTCACTAATAAATTTAGGTGGAGACTTTCTTTACATAGCTGAAAACATTTTCAGAGTCCTTTGGCAAAGATAAACAATGACTTTCCATCTAAAATGAGAGTGTGAATTTATTTGCACATTCATTCATTCACAGTCATGCAGCTAGCTATTCATTCAGCATTTATTGACACCCTTCCTTGGGTAGTTATCTGGGTGAACCAAGGCAAAGATGTGGGTGCCGCCCTTAAGACGCTTGCGCCTAACAAAGAGAGTTTGGCTTCAGCCCAAGCTCAGTTCACTAAGACAGTGTACTACAGGTGGTTCAAAGGTCAGTCGGATAAAACCAAGAACTTTCTGTCTTAGTCAATTATACCTATCATTTTTTTCCTTCATATAACGCATGCTCTTTTGACACTGGGCAGGAGAAGAGCTTTCCAAGCAGAAGTGAATTCACTTATAAAGTTAACAAAGCTTAAGCTTCAGGCTCCCTTGTTTATAGGGACCCCTTCCAAGATCCTGGGAGGGACCCTAGAAATATGTTCTGACGGCATGTAGAGTTTGTAAAATATATTTTTTTCTATTATTTTTCTTTAATATGGCCCCCAAAATGTATAAGTTTCTCAGGCCCCACAAAACCTGAATCAGACCTGTCACCAAGTCTGTATGCACATGTAGGTGAAAGTTTACAAAAGTATCCAGCTTCTTATTACCTATGTCTTGGCAGTGAGGGGGGCATGCTGCACCAGCGCCATCTACAGAGCTCCAAGCCCTGTTTCTTAGAGCTCTGTAGATGGCTCTGGTGCAGCAAACAGGTCTTGGAGCTCTGTAGATGGCTCTGGTGCAGCAATGTTTTTTGTAAACCTCACATTGTTCATGGATGTCCCCACTGCCACCACCGCCACCCTCTAACCTGCTTCCTCCTTTTGCCTTTAGTGTGAATTAAACTGAGTAGAGCAAGTGTCAAGACCCAGATTGAATTTCTCACCTCACACAGACCCTACCTAATTTATGTTGTATAGACTAGTAATCACACACACATATACACACATACATATACACACGTACACACACACACACATTCACACACACACACACAGCCTTATAACCTGAAAAAGAGGAACAGTATCAAAGTCAAGAGTAGTTGTTGCTGTCTTTTCTGTCTTGAGAAGCTGTTAATAATGTAAATTCTGTTTTTGGCAGCTAGGTTGTAATCAAAAGTCAATTGGGAAAGATTACCCTGGGACATTTTTAAGATCTTCTTTAAATTCAAGGCCAGGAGTTCGGAACTACTTGTGTATTGTGTGACACCCAGCACAAAGGACTTAAGAGGACGCTAAGCTCCCCTGAAACTGCTTCTGTTGCTCTTGAGCATAGCCCTTGCCAACACCAGAGCGAGTTCCCCTGACTCAACTTTCAGTTCCCTTGAAACCAAAGAGGTAGAGCTCTGTGGTTTAAATTAAAGGAGGAGATGTGCTTTGTACAAATTAGCTTTCCTATTGATGTGGTGCCTATTACAAAGCTCAGGCCTCTTGTTTTAATTCAAATCCATGTGCTGCAATTTTTATTTAATTTAAAACCAAATAAGAACCAGGAGTTGCTGAAAGGAAGGGAAATGTCAAGTCCAATTGAGCCCTGGCAGCCTTCCTGAAACCATTGTAACTTGGGGACTGTGGCCTATTG